AAAACAATAGTTAACTATACTTAACTATAGTTTACTTAATTAACTTTAGTTTACTTTAGTAAATCAAACTAAAAATTCCTCAACAACGATTCACATAATTGCAATCCTTTTTTTCTCAAAATTCGTAATTGTATCACCAAAAAAAATATATGATGGTAAAATAAATTGTTTCACATCTACTTAAATTTTGAAGAAATAAATATTTTAAAAAAGTAAAATTTAAACAAGTTATAGAGATTGAAATGTAACACTGTGTAAGGTATATGCATTTAAGGACAGATGATACAAAAAATTGTTTATATCATCTGTCTTTAACAGAACAAATTTTATTCAAACCATTTCGCTGAAGAGTAGGAAAACGATTGTTTTATGTTAACTGAAAAATTCCTGAAAATTTTTTGCTGTTCTTAAACTGAGAAATGAAATAAATTAAATTTGTAGGAGACTTCGGAACAAATACACGTGATCCTTTCCAGATGTACTTTTTAGCCATCCTTGATCCGCCAATTCTAAAAATTCATTATAATTGCCTGTATTTATAGATTTAAAAAAGATTTCCAGAAATCGAGAAATTTGATTGCTAGACTCCGGATTGTCAATGATTTAAAATATTTCAGAATTCTTATTTAAAATGGTTTTTCAATCCTTATTTAAGTATAGCTTGAATAAATCTTGAACTATAGGGTAGCATAATCACATTTTAAATTCAGAAGTTATTCTCCATTCCATTCAAACCTCTGTCTTACCTACATTTTAACCAAATCATAACCAAACAAGTCATGGAGATACAGTTTAACAAAAAGTTATGCAGAATTTTGTTTTGTTTTCATTTTTAACACATATTATTTTCAGTAAAAGGCCACTGCACAAAATTAAGAATATGCAAATATTTTTTTTTTTTTTTGGAAACAACGATGAGGGAAAGAAAACACGAAATGTTTCTTTAAATACTTCTTCATTTTGAGCTGTAACCTGCAAAAGAAATAGAGGAGTATTCAACTGGCAGTCACCTGCAAAGAAAATAGAGTAGTATTCAGCTAAAGGTCAACTCTAAAGGAAATAGAGGAGTATTCAACCAGCGGTCAACTGCAAAGGGAATATAGGAGTATTCAACTAGCGGTAAACCGCAAAGGAAATAGAGGAGCATTCAACTACATGTAGCGGTCAACTGTAAAGAAAATACAGGAGTATTCAACGAGCGGTCAACTGTAAAGCAAATAGAGGAGTTTCAATAGTGGTCCACTCTATTCAAATGAGTTGAACGCCCCCTCATTTGCATGACAAAAATTCAACTAACGGTCAAGTGACGGTCTGTGAACCGTCAACTAGGACAGTGGGTGAATCAGACTAAGTCGTTTAAGGTTTTAATCGTGCGTTTAGAAACTTGTAAATTTCGTTTTGTAAGTTTTTATTGGAATGTTATTTGTAAAAGAAGCATTTCGTTTATTTTCTTTTTTTTATATCCAGATGAAATGAATGTAGAGCAATTAATATAATTAAATGCAGAACGATTTAATTATAGCATGTAAACAACAATATAGTAACTCGTACAATATTAAGTTCTTGTCAAATAGCGTGCCCTATAGTGATACACCGTACTTAGTTTTTTAACGTTTTTTTTCCTCTATTGTTCATTCTTGTTAACTGGTAATTGTGTTCAGGATATTTTTAAATACATCAAATATATATATTTTTTACAAATAAATAAACATTTCTCAATTCTTATATAAATATTTAGTGAACATGCACACGACATGATTTTAGGGATTTTGTTTATCAGTGTTTATCTCTACAGCTTACTTTTTATTCAATTTTAAAATTTCTGCAAATAAAAAATGAATAAATAATTGGCAAGTTCAATTTTAGAGAATCACAAACATTGACTCAAAGGAAACACACGGATAAAACTTGTAATTTAAGTCATTCAATGCTGCCATTTTTATTAATCGTATCCTGCTTTCTGCATATTATGAAATCCAATTCAATAAAATTTTACGGTCCATCTACATGTACATCTTCTGATAGAACGAAAAAAATCCGATCTCTTAAGTCGGAGAATTACCTAAATAATTACTTATCATCTAAAATATTAAATACGTCTTATATATATTAAGTTCCAGAAATATCATTTTTTTTTATTAAGGTCTACCGTTTCAGACGGCAGAGCTTATAGTGAATCTACTGTTTCTTTTTATTATTATTATTCCCCCCCCCCCCTTTCTTGTAAGACGGATTTCTCAGAGATGGCTGGACAGATTTTCCTGAAATTTTCAGGGATGGTGGAAATAAAAATACACTCAGATGTTTTTCTTTTCATTTTTTCAAAATTCACTTCTGGTCGTCAGATATGTCCGATTTCCGCTTTTTTTCAAAATAATTTTGTCTGGGTCAGAAACGATAAGAGATTAAGATACCAAACTTATATGAGTAATAGATCTTGATAAGTAGGCGAGCCTATTTTGGTTAAGATTGTCCGTCGTAACTTCCGGTCGTCACAGGAAGTGATCAAAGAAATCGAAAATTTCAACTTTTCTTTTTGAAACATTTTTGCATCAAATTATAGCATCTTATTTGTAGTTTCGAAATATAAAATATATATATATAGAAAAATATATATAAATGAGTAGCATTTAATTATAAAAAATATAAAAAATTTCTCTCAGTCATATTTTGTAAACGTCATAGATATCGCATTCTTTCACAGTTTAAGGTTAATACAATCAAACACAAAATAATTGAATATACAGAACTGTTTTTTTTATCATATCTCGAAAAAAAAATTAAATATATCAACAATTAAAGGAATTGATGCGGATAATATAAGTAATATTCTTAATCACAGCAGGGTCCATTCGTATATTCCACCATATTTCAGGTTAAAGACTACACCAAATATTTCCTAGTAAAAAAATTATAAATCGACTATTGATTCAAATTCAAATTTTGTAAATCATGAGTAAGTATTTACAGAACCTAACTGAGTTCTGAAAGAAAATCTCCTTACTGTTCATGTTCCTCTTCACTGTAAAACTATAGCCCTGATTGACACATTATTCATGGAGACATAAATATAGTATATGATGAAGACCTTCCATCATTCATTTTTAAAAAGCTGAAATTTAACTGTTACGTCAAGGTTACCCTTGGGTATGGGATGGGTCAGACATGAAAAATAAGACATTGGACACCTTGTCAGAATAATCAAAAATGTATCAGATGTTCCAAATTGGCCAACATCTCGCATAAAGGGCAAATGATACAAACAAACTTTTGTCCAAAAAAAAGATACATGAAACTTTGGTCATGTCTTGAATAATTTAAATGAATAAGTTTCAACATGTGTAGTATTTTAATTTTTTATTCAAGTTGCACAAAAATGGAATTTGAAATGAAAAAATATTTGGAAAGAATAATCAGGATGGTTGCAGAAAGATAGAACTTTGAACGTCACAGAAAGTTTACAATTATTTATACAGTCCTTGAAATATTATACTTTCCCATTTGTCCGTTCGCTACCGTTTGATCACCATTCATGCATTGTGCGTTCACCGTTCTCTATCCGTTCACAGTATTGCGTTCACCGTTCACCGTGCGCTCGCATTCACCGTTCACAAAACCTTTACCATTCGCTCTTCATTCCGTTAACTTTGCGTTAACCTTGCGTTCTCCGTTCACTCATCGTACAGTCTGAAATATTATGCTACAAAACACAGACCTTTGAAAATTGGAGAAAAAAATCGTTATTTTACACGGAATCGCCTTGGCACGAAAAAAAAAAAAAAAACAGTGGACCTTCAGATATCCGGAAGTCAGATATCCAGATGCTTCAGTATCCGGACGACTTTTCATCAGAAAGGAATTTTTAAACGTTATTTTGTCTTATTTAATTGGTAGGTCAGGTATCCGGACGTTTCACATTTCCGGACAAATTCGCTAGAAACCAAAGTGTCTGGATAAACGAGCCTCCATTGTATATGTATTGTTTTTACAACCGTGGTAATTAATTCATTCTCTAAGTAGTAGTTTTCTCATCTAAAGTACACATTATTTTATTAGTTAAAAGAATAAGCATATTTTTTTTTTACAACTACATTGATGCTATCTTTTTATACTACATGTACACGAGTTCGGTAACAATTACATATTTTTACAGCAAAAAAATTGTGCTATTAAAAATGATTTAAAAGGTCATACGTATGTCTAGAAAATATTTATTAATTTGTTTATTCATATATTCATTGTTTATTTATATTTTAGCACCTGACATTAGAATATAATAAAATATATTCAATGCAAGGGAAATTTGGCACAGAAGTTTTCTAAAGTTGATGTTTACAAGAGCTTGAGTATCTGATTTACAATATCATTGTAGTTTTTGGAGACCAGACTCTAAAAAATCTGTTAAAATCTATTGAAAATCCAATGGTACCAATTGCATACTGTTATTACCAGACCTATTTGTGTATTCATATGAAGCAACATGGCACTTAGAAGTAAAGCTGATGCAGCAATATACCTTTTTCTAATAATGTTAAATTTAGAGATTTATAATATTTTTTAAATCTCGGATTTTAAAATCTTATCTCTTCATGATTTCAAAATCATTTTCAAGTAACATGCGAAAATACACTCTCCGTATGCAAATCACCCGAGGTTTCCAACGATCGTTGATGCCCAAAAAACCAAAAAGGAGGGATTTCTTCAATAGATCCGAACCTTAATTAAAAATATAATAAATAATATCTAAATATTTTTCTTTAATTGTTTGATGAAAACTCCGTTGTACGTATATAAACGTCATTAATACTCCTACAATTAAAAGGTAAACCCAACAAGATCAATAGAAATATCCAATTCCGTATTGGTTAACTTTTAACCAATAAGACAAAACGAAATGGGATCACCGTTTTTCACCTAATAACCTGATGAAATACTGATAAGAAGAGTATATAGATCGTGTTGTCTTTATTAGATTAATTAATTTTTTTTTCGAATATTCAACCGACATGATTATGCAACCATTTAGTCAGCTAACCTTTCTCCTGATTATTGCAGGTAATTATAGAATGATAGAAAGGGGGTAAAGCAAGATGAACGTAAATGAAAAAAAGAAGCTAGAGGAAAAAGAACGGGTTTGAGTATATACAGCTAAAAACAACATTAAGAAGACAGAAACAAAAGAGAATAAAAATAAATAGAATGATGTGAATATGTATCGTATTAATTACTCATTGTTTACATCAAGTTTCAATCAAGAACATCCATAGTGAATCGTGTGAAGATAAGATATCTGACTGTGCTGAATACACAAAGGAATCATGTAAACCTCCTTATCTCACCTGGGCTCAACAGAACTGTCCTGCATATTGTGGATTCTGTAGTAAGTAAATATAAACAAATGCTTTGACAATTCAACTGCAAACAATAAAATAAGATTCTGAACATTATTTTTTTTTTTAAAAATTCCTTAAAAGTTTTTAAAGTACTATTTATTTTTTTTTTTGAGGTTTATTAGAAATCGTGAAATCAATTTTGAGAATACAATGATTGAATTGCGTATGCGTCTAAAATTCAATATTTATTTTCAACAACGAAATTCTGTTTAATCATCATATTTAAACCAATATGAATTTCTAAAGGATGCTATCTATCCTTTGCTGATAGTAAATACCCCTAACACCCCAACCAAAAAATCAATTCCTTGAATGTTTAATTTAAAAAAAAATATCCGTCACGAAATATGTGACACTAGTGATTCGCACAAAATATATATATAATTGGAACATTTCCAAACCAAAATTCTGAAACAATCTTCACTTAAGGAAGGCAGTGCGTGGACAATAGAAGCGATTGCCATGAATTCGGGATTTCAGCATGTTTACCATTGTATAAGACTTGGGCCAAGCAAAACTGCGCTGCTTATTGTGGATATTGCGGAGCAGGTAAAAATTATTCCTTTTCTTGATGTTGAAGCACAGGAAATCAGAATGTAGCCTAAAAATATATATGCTGCCCACAAACAAAAAACTTACCAGAATTTCTCATCTGTGGAAAATTTAATTATAGCAAAATTTAAACGTAAATTGACTAAGAGGAATAGTATGGAGTTTGAACATAACTGTCAAATATTTAAAAAAAAAATCTTTACAATACTATTCATCTTCAAACTTTCTCCAAAATACGTAATTGTGTTAAGACGATTGGATAAGATTCATAAATACCAGGTTGTTCGAATTTCATGTGTTAATATGCTTATAAATTATATTCAGTGTTTTTATTTTGACTTTATAGCTTTTTTCATTTCTTTCCACATGTTTATACTTAAGGTATTTGTATTTTATAGAAAATAAATGTGTATATTCTCCTTGGATGAATCTTAAGCCTTGCTCTAAGACATGCAATGGTGGAGTAGTTGTACAAGTAAGGACATTTACAACCGTACCACATGATACATCTTTGGCCACAGATTGCAATAAAACACTGATAAGGAACAAAGCTTGCAATATCAAATCTTGTGAGTATATTTCATAATTTGAAATTGATATGAATGCTTCTATTAGTATTACCGTAAACGGCTGTGTATTCTTTTCAGCGCCTTTCGCGGAAAGAAACTTCTGCTAAATCAAGTACACCGCTAAATGACTTGCAATAATATGCATAAAAAAGAACATTGGGAAATGTGCTAAGTCAAATCTACGCTAACTTGGAAAAATCAATTTCCGCAAAATATCGTAAACGCAAAATAAAATACATTTACAGTACTAAGTGTACACTAACCGATTAATTTAATTTTATTTGTATGTTTCGACATGTATTTCAAATATTGTCAAAAACGATACAGCTTAACCCTGGTTACTTGTATATGCCGCCTCCAAAAACACAGCTAAATTAAGTCGTTTTGTCCTGAGAATTTCATAATTTCTATTACTCGTATGTATGGTGAAAAAGTAAAATAAACTAATGAATAGAAATGTGATATATTATGATCAAATTAAAAATATCGTGTTTTATGCATAACCAAGGCCGTTTGAAAAGAAAAATTATGAGAAATTTTGGATTCTATATATTTACCGTTTCAAGAAAATACACATAATGTTAAATACTTTGGAAAGAGTTGGAATATTAGCATTTTTATATTCTTTTTTATGATGTTGTAATCCCAAAGATAACATAAAAAATATTTAATTTGCATTTTAGAAATTGTTATCTTTGCTTTAAATTGTCGTGCGGGGGCAACAATTTTTTTTTTTTCAATATCGCCGTTATTAACTCAATATTGCTTTTTTTCTAAAACGAGGTAAATTATTGACAAGCACGTTGAAGAAACAAGAATACCAGCAGTTTCGTTTAAAGTCGCAACTCTCTGTGTGCTCCTGGTCATGATCGCTAAATAACGGAAAAATACGTCGTCAATTCAGTGTACAAATAATGGACTAACAAATTTTCTGAAAAACGTTAGTCAGCATTTGACTCAATAAAAAATAGAATTTGCTGACAAAGTCATTGTATTGATCATGGAACTTACGAAGAAATGACTTCATACTAGACTTCTGATATTCTTGTTTCATCAACTTCTTTGTCAATAATTGACCTCGTTTTAGAAATTGTTCGTTCACAAGTAGAACACGGAATTCTAACTTCATTTTCGGGGTTCATTTCGTCATTAAATTCGCAAAGTGAAGTATCTAAAAATTAAAACAACTAAAGTCTTCTTTATTTACCACAAAACTAGTTTAATTCAAATTAGTTTACTGCGCATCAAATACTTCGAATTAGCTCCGCGTGAACGCTAAGGGAAGCTAATTCGAATTTAATTTGGAGGCGTGTTTAATAGCAAAATTAGGTCAAATGCCACATGTTCGTGGTCAGCTTAAAGCATTTGTGCTATTTTTGAGTGAAAAACTAAGGGAAATTGTGTTAATCACTAAAATGTGTGTACAGACACTGTAACATTATGTCAAATGCATCTGCTCCTGAATAAGGTGACGTGATCTGAAAATGACGTGATAATAGCCTTACTGAAGACTTGAGACATAACTGCATGTACAATTTTGACAGTTACATATTTAAATTAAAACAAAAATACTGTAGATCACTTAATTTTCGCGACACCTTATTTTTGCGAGATATTTATTGACTCTTTATAAGCGAGACATGATTTTCACGAATTGTTAATATTTCTCTATATAATCTTAAGGAATACTATTGTACGCGAGAATGATATTTTTGCGTGCTGATTGTCTCGTGTAATTACGCGAAAATAAAGTTCTCGCGAATAAAAAGTGTGATTTACAGTACCCATTTTAAAACAAAGTTTTAAAATCAATCATTAAATAAAGCAGTTTACTTATCTATAATATTAGTCGTAAGTGTGCAAGTTTCATATAAAATAAAGCCATAATCATTTTGTAAATTCTGAATTTTCCCCAATAACACTGAACAACAGGTACAACAACTACAACAACAAGACCAACTACACATCCATCCAAAAACCATGTTCTCAATCCGGATCCAGCAGTCAATCTCATCCCAGGAGCCGTGGCAGCTGGTGTAGCTAGCGGAGCGGCCACTGCTGTCCTTGGGGCTGGCGAAAAAGCTGTTGTTGGCGCTGGAGAAGGAACTGCCATTGGTGCTGGCGAGGGAGCTGCCATTGGCGCTGGAGAAGGAGCTGCCATTGGCGCTGGAGAAGGAGCTATTATTGGGGCTGGTGAGGGAGCTGCACTTGCAGTTGGTGAAGGAGCCGCTGCTATCGGAGGTGAAATAGCTGGAGCTGCTATTGGCGAAACAGTCGCTGCGGTCGCCGGTGAAACAATACTTGCTACTATAGGGGAAGCTTTACTTGGTCTAGTTGGTTTTTTTTTGGTAGAAAATAAGTTAGTTAAATTTGTAAGACACTAATACTAGAGGGAAAAAATGGTAAAAAAAAAAAAAAAAACGTGGTTGTACTTGTAATTCTTTTGTAAATTTGATGCCAACAAAGAAATTAAAGGGGGTTATGATTCATGCTTTCCTCAAAGATTTGGAATGCATGTATTACTTTGAATTGACCAATGTACATGAATTGACTCCATTTTGTTAATTAAGGCAATATGTTTTTAAGAAACACTGATGACCCTGTGTGGCAACCTATGTATCAATTGCAAGTCACACTACAAAGTCAAAGGTCAAGTATGTTGATATTTAAATGAAGGACTTGTCATACGAATTCAGCTTGTGAAACCTGAAAGACCAAAGATCAAATTTTTCAAAGGTCAATCTGAAAAGGGAACAAAAGGGATTCCAAATTGAAAGGTTTTGTCACAATTAATGTACATGTAAAGCATATAAGCTCTTCTACCAACAGTTCAAAGGTTAAATGTCGGTAATTTATTATTTTTTTAAGTGGGTCATGGTCAAGAGGTCAAGTAGTGTCCCCAAAAGTTTAATATTGTCACAAAGAATACACGTGTGAAATATAAAAACCATCATTTCCTATGTAACTTGTATAAGAGCTTCGATTGGTTACAGAGTTGGTTGTAAATTTCCATGCACCCGACATGAGCTAGGGGTAAATAATACGTAATGTTACAATGCTTACTTTCTCTATGATAAAACCAAATAAGATGACGACACGATGCATTGTAGTACTTACTTATCTTATCGATAGATTGAGAAACACTTGAATAGACTCTATCTACTGTTTACAAAGATTTTTATGTATACATAGGAAATAAATTCGTTATTCCGGTCCAATAAAGGATGTACGGGGATTTACCCCGGGTTGTATTTCATACACCTGGTTTAGCCCCCCACCCCACCCCCCAAACTTTCAATTAGCCCTTACTTTCAATTTGCTTCCGAGGCCTATGCTTATGAAAACATAATTTACATTGGGGCATAATTTATACCAGAAATGTATATTTTGACGCCACACAAAATTATCAGGTATTCAAATTATCACAAAACGAAATTATTTGATCTTTGTTACTGTTGGAAAGCCCTGGACAATATCTAATCTTACTATTAAATGTAATTTTGTCGTATTTTTTAATCACTCACAGAAGGTATTTAAAGGATTCATTGCTCGCAATGCACTTGATAGATTAACATTTTCTAAATAGAAAAAAAACAATCCTTGTAATTAGATAAAATATAATTAGCATATTTTAAAATGCCGTTCACTTGGATGCGATGTCTAGTTTACCATTTCATGCCTATATTCTTTGGATAAGAGATGTTGTCGTATAATTATATGTATGCAAATTCATTGAAAATAGTATTACAACGATCCCAATAAATCAATTCTTTGAAAGGTATCAAGCCCATGAAGCAGGTTTTTACATTAAACTCAAGAAGCATTGAGGTATTTTGAAAATTGCTGCTAATCTCATGAAATCTCTGAAAGAAACCGAAGTAGATTTGTTAAATCAAAGTACTCAGAAGTACAGAGAGCCGGGCTCATTTACAGAGTAGAATGGATTTCTTACATGAATCACGTTTATATTCTGATGAAAAAATTATTTTAAAACTATCAATATAAATGATAAGACACTGACAGTGATTTTTTCAATCCTAATACCACGGTTCGCTTTTGTCAAATCAGAATTAATCTGGTACCGCAGCTGAATGTAAACAAACAGGCCAGTCTGGTTCCCTCTCCTTCTTTAACTCGTATGTGTAGAGAACTACATTGTACGGTAACACTAATTATCAAAAATCTTTACGCTAATGAACTATGCTCTTTGACTAAGGAATTTTTCAAAGTCATTGCTTCTAATGTTTATTTTATATAGATAAAACTTCGTTTTATTTTTGTTGCTTTATTTAGCGTTTGTATTATCTCAAAAGCGGTTGAGAGTAAGAACTATATTTTTGCACGTAACTTTAAAATGGCGACTATGGGGTCAACATCCTGCCTTGAACAGGATCACATAAGCCGGCAATTGCACTTTGAGCA